TTTTTCCCCCCCCCCCTTTCCCCCCCTCCCCTCCTTTCTTCCCTTTTTCTTTTTTTTTTCCCCCCCCCCCCTGAAAAATTGGAAAAAAAAAAAAGATTGAAAAAGAAAGAAAAAGAGTGAAGGTGGGGGGGGGGGGAGAAGGAAGAAAGAAGGTAAACCTCTAGAAATGTCGAAGAATGTGTCAATGGGTGTGAAGGACGGGAAGTGTATAGAAGGAGGTAGAGGCGTTAGTGTAAAAAGGCTTGCAGCTGAGGCCAGATGGAAGTTCGGACCAGCTTTCAATTGAGCATAACCCAGACTTGGGCCACCGTATGTTCCGGCGGGAAAGTACCGTATCGAGTGGGAGAAACCACACCACCGCAAAAATCTCTTTTTCAAGTCGAATTTATCCCCACGCTCCAAGGCCAATCGCTTACAATCCACCCAAGGAACAACCTGCAGGCCGGCACTTCAATAAGGGAACGTAGCATCCAGACACAGCGAAACGATGCAATTGGCTTGTGAACCGTGGGGATATTCGGTGATCCTTTTCCGTGACGGTTGGTTTCGCGAACAGGGAACTATCCTTGTCTTGTACCCAAAAAGTGCCATGGTGAGCATGGATGGGAATTCTTGGGCCCATTGGCGTCGGAGCATGTTCGGGTTCGGGAATGGCAACTAGCTGTCTACTCTGCTTTGTGAAATCCGAACCATCAAAGATGCTAGCGGGGATGAAACCTCTTTGTTTTTTTTTTTTCTATTCATCTCACAAGTTTTATTCGAACGAACTGTATGTGAAAAGTTCCATCCTCTTTTTTTGCCTTTTTTTTTCCACTTGCAAAAGAACTGCCATCCTTGTTGACACTTAAAATCGGCCCTATTCTTTGGCTACTTTGACAGGCGGATCTGGCGTTTTTTAACATAACCTCCCTAGAAGCAAGCAATACGCTTTTGTGGTAGATGGTGATGGCTTCAAAGGCAAACTTGGCGTTGTTTGGTTGCACTTTCAGCCCTTGGCAAGTTTTTTGGAAACAGAGTTGAAGAATCCTACGTAGGGTGGGTCCGTCAGAGCGAGAATGTACGTGGTTGCCAGACATTTTCAGCTCTGCATCCATAACATCGGAACAAACTGCAGTGGTGCTGTTTCTTTATAACGCTGTGACCAATTCTTGCGATATGATTTGCAGCTGACAACGATCAAAAGTCTGAGGCGCTTTTAGCCCAGACAAGTGAGTATATGTCAACAATATTCAAACTCACGACTACACAAGACGAACAATAGAAGAAACAAGAAAGAAAAACAATCTAACCCACACCATTCAACAAAACTCACACCGCTAACACCTCTCTTGTGTATGTATAGTTTGGATAGATCGTTTTAACAAAAAAGAACTGAACAAAATCTTAGCAAAGAGCCAACCAAACCGAACGGCCGATATACGCCTTGAATTCCCACCCAGGCAAAAAAAACATTCAATTGAGCCTCCTTTACCATTTGATCCCATCCATCCCTACGCAAACCTTTATTGATCCGTCATTATCATTACAATTAATGTACACGGGTCACTAACAACGGCCAGGTCGAGGCTAGTTCAAGAATCAGTGCAACAGTCAGTCCAGCAATCAGTCCAAGAGTAAGTCCCGAGACTTTCTCTGAAGAGTTGAAGCTGAGGACCGCAAGATACCTCAAGCAGTGGAAACAAGAAGCGAGGTCAAAGCCACAGAAGACCGAGACCAGTCCGCGTTTTTACACTTTAACTGTCTTCGGTTACTCCTGTCCCCTGTCCCTACCCCTGGGTCTGTGGAAGCCCCGCAACCTCCTCCTCGTCCTCATCGTGCTGGCCCTCCTGGGGAGGAGAAGAAGATCCTTCATTCAACTTCCGCGCCCGCTCGACCGCCTCTTCCAGCTCCTGATGATGTCTCGCCACGACCTGACGCATCTTGCCCAAGTTGAGCTGCAACATGTTGGTCTCCTGATCGAGCATGCCGCGCTCGTGTTCCGTCAGCATCAACCGGCGCTGCAGCATCTCGACGCGCTCGCGCTCGCACACTTGCCAGGCGTCCTTCCGGATCTGCTCGGCGGCGGCGCGGGGGTCTTGGCTCATGGCTATGGTAGCCATGGTGTTGCTGGGCCGATGTTGGCCCCGGCCTCCGGGAGTTCCTGGTACTCTCATTCCCATTCCTACTCCGGGATCGCCGGCCATGGGTTGTTGTGGTGGTTGCTGCATGTATGGTGACGGTATTGGGAGAGGTGCTGGGGAGGCCATACCCGAAGTCATCACCATGCCCGCTGATCCCATTCCCATGGACATGCCGCCGTGCATGTTTGGTACGGGCATGCCCATGTTCATGCCCATTCCCATGCCGTTGTCGGCCATGCCGTTGGGCATTTCGTTTCCCATGACGTTGCTCATACCGTTGCCCATCCCCATGGGTATTCCCATCGGCGTTATCGGTTGGGCGCCAAGTCCACCTATAGGCGTCGTCGGTGTTGAGTAGGCGTTGCGTGCATGTACCTGATAATCTGCCATCCAAGCCACAGGGCCGCTAACTCCGGGAGTATGGGTCTGCATGGTCTGCATGATGTTTGGTCGGCCGGGGAAGTTGGGGATAGGGCCAGGATGTTTGCGCTTCATCTGCGACTGGAGAACTGCCGTGTTCAACGCACTTGCCGCCGCGAGCTTCGGCTTGCTGTCTGGTTTTCCAATCTTGCTGGTTGATTTGACCTTCCTGTGATGGGGTCCAGTTGGCATCAAGTTTAGTTTCCCTGCTCTCCTCGCCTGACCCCCTGGAGATGCTGGTTCGTTGACACTGGATTTCTGCATGAGCGGTACTAGGCGCTGGTTGCTGGGTTCGATTTTGATCTCGGCAGATTCGCTCCTCCTCAAGGCGGCAAAGTCGGGAAACTCGGTATAGGGAGAAAGAGCCGGCTGGCTACCTGTCTCCCAGCCCGCTGAAGCATTTGGATATGACATGGACTCCTCAGGCGACATTGAGTGTGTTATGGCCGCTGTGCCAAAATAGTCGCCGCCATGGGGATATGGTTCGTGGGAAGGCGTCACTGAAGCAACACTCCAGTCGGCGGCGAACATGGAGGCATTTGGATCATGGCCGCCCCATCGCGGGGTGCCTGTCGGTGTTTGCTGATTCTCCCAGGCGTTGAAGGGGACACCTTCTGTAACCACGGGCATGGGAACGCTCATGCCGGGCTGTGTCCATGGACTCGTGACGAGATTTTGGGTATCCCATGCTTGAAGGGCGTCGTTCGGATGGACTTGGGAGGTGGGCATCTGAGAGTTAATCACTAGGTCAGTTGTATGTTCAGACGCATGTGCCTTGCATACATATGTACATGTCAAGCAGAAGCAGCGACGGGGATGCGCACCTCTCCCAGGCCATTGTCGTGGGGAATGTAGCTGCCTGCCATCATTCCGGCGGTGCTCGATGCAGTTCTTTAGCTCCCGAGTTGAAAATGCGGAGCGCAACCACGACTTTTGAATGCGAATTGTTGTCACGACTTTTGAATGCAAATCGCTGTGACAGGTACAGACAGGTACAGGTGTTGGACAAGCTTGTGCTTCTGTTGAGGTTGGACGGGGCGCGGGGTGTGACGTTGTGGTGGTGGTGTGGTGCAGTGCGTTCCCTGCGAATCGCCAAAACCTAAAAACGAGCGTGTATTGTTGCCGTGTTCCTGTAGGTAACTTTTTCTCACGAGATGAAAGGCGTTTCGAGGCGAGCTACCGACTCGAGTTGTCGTCGAAGGTGTCGGTCGCGGCGCAGTGATGGAGAGAGGTGACTTTGGTTATCTTCCCGCCTCGGTGGTGCTAGTGGTCAGTGATGTTTGATGGTGCAGTGCTTTTGAGGTTGGCGGTGCTTCTGGGTGGTGCTGGAGAGATGCTTGGCGTCCGATGACGCAGGCGATGGAGCCGTGATTGGAGAGCAGCACACGGGCGGCTCAGCTGTCGGCCGCCCAACCTGTCACTTGGTGCAGCTGTCTGCTACAACTAGTATCTGCACGCGTCTGCCGCCCTGCCCAGGACGGAACAGGATGCCGATTACCTAGTACACCAATTGACAGCTCTGGATCTGCAGGGCCGATGCCGCGTTTGGGGCTCAACAAGAGAAGTCGAGAGTGGTTGTTGCTTGTTGTTCGTGTCCGTACGTGGTAACTGATTGTCCCGGGAATAGCTGCGCGGCGGTTGTTGCGCTGCGAGTGGTCGAGTTCAGGCTGTGGAAGGTCGCCCTACAATTACCCCAAGTTGCCAACAATCGTCATTTTGAACACTTCGTTGAGAGGATGGTGGTCGCATATGCGACCCGACTAGCCCTGGCGGCCGACTACTTTTATAGCTTCCTTCGTCTTTCATCCCAGACACATCCCAGACAGCCCGCGCGGGGGTGGTGTGGGATATTCATTATATTGGGATGCTAGTGCCGGAGTAGCAGTTTTTTTTTTCTTCTCTATTGCTTGGCGCTGCGATCGTGATCTCCCGTCGGCGCATCGCAGTGTGCACATGCCGTTGGAATGCCCATCGCCATGTCCATCCATGCTAACATTTGGGAGGTTGATCCAAGAAAAGGGCCCGGGTCCCCTTGTTTGCATGCCCGTTGGGCGTGGCTTAGGTTAGATAGAATACGGCCCAATTGCACCGGCGCAACCTCCGTGCCGAGAGCGCATGTGAGCATTTGATATTGCATTTCTTGGTAGCGACCAAAGAGAGGGACAAAGCTGATCGAGATTGGAGATATCGAGATGGATTTCCTTTTCCAGGCCAGCCAGATGGGTGGGCAAGTGGGATCCGCCACCTTGATGCTGTCGGCCCTGCACTCAAGCACTGCACCTGCACTTGCACTGCCCGCCTCCAGCAGCGGGGCCCCGGACGGCTGGGAGAGGTGATAGATAAGCGCTTATCGCGGTCTGCCAGACCGTTGCAGACTGTCAGCGGACTGCGGGTAACCGCGGTACATCCCCACCTTCTAGCGTGTGCCGTCTTCCGGGGGATTGTGGTGGTCCGTGGTGGGGTTGGTCGGCCATGTGCATTGTTTCAAAGGGGACTGCGGGCATCCAACTAACCAATGTGGTGATATCGGGTTGTCCGCACTCACCTCAACGCTCCAGCGGGTCTTGCAACTCTGCACTGCAAATACGAAGGTCTTGAAACAGACCGAAGCTCTGGAAGGCGGGCACCAGAACATGGATTCCAAATGGGCATAGGTGCCTGAAATCGGCTGTGTGCTGGCACGACAAGGATAACCGTGAATGGCAACCCAACTGGCCTCGGCGCTGCCTCTTGAAGAGGAATTCGACATCTCCGGCCCCTTTTCAGACGTGTTCCTGATCGCAGCTTGCAGCTACCTACCGGCGCCGGGTCAGATCCCCTTTGTCTTATTTTTTTTTATTTTTTTTATTTTTATTTTTTTTCTCCGGCGAATGAGCTCCCGGGCCCGGCCCATGACGCTGCCGGCTCCCCTTTCCCACCGGACCCTGCGCAGCTGATGATGGCCCGATACATAGCCCGGCCACGCACATTGTTACTGTTTTTAGCATTGCTTTCGGTCACATCTTTATTTGCGCTATCGATTGCTGCGATCCTCAACATCCCATCCGTTTCCACAGCATCGATAGCTCTGGTTGGTGACCACATGGCAGTTGGCATAAGAGAAGCCTTCCACCGCCCGTGTACACCTTGCCCCTGTTTGATCTTTGCCTTTTTTTGACTTCTCTACACCACCTCACAGCAGGCAGTTCATCTCCACTCAAATCCAATTCTCTCCTCCACAGTCCTGGTCAGCCGGTCAGTTCATCTCTATAAGAGACTCATCGACCTTCGCAAACAGGCAGAGTGTCCAAAGTATCTGCACATGCCATCCTTCACAGCTCCTCGATTTCTAATCCATATCTTTGAACCCCCTCTCCCTTCACCTTACAATTCTCATCCAGACGGCCGAAGTTCGCGCGGATACAGCCCATTCCATCCCGATTCCGCGTCGATCACTTCTGACAGGTTCCACTGCTATCAAACCCTCAGTCACCGCTATCCACACATCACGCGAACCCTACAGCATCACGAGCTTTTTTTTTTCCGCTGTGGATTTTAACCTCCACCCATTGCCATCCATCTGATCCATCGCAGTTTTCACCCGTTGCAAGCCGAGACATTGGACGGCATATCGGAGCGGTCTTGCACGTACATGTAATCAGACCGGCGGCGCTATCCGGCGGCGCTATCCCCTCGGCCCCAATTTGAACAACACCCGCCAAGCCGAACGGGCCGCCCTCGCGGCCTTTAGACCCGGCAGAAGTCCAAGCTGAGTTGCTTGCGCCGTGGCCCGTACCCAGCGGCAGCGCGGCAGAGTGGCGACTGCCACAGTCACATCCCGGCGGCCGCCCGGCCTTTCTTGAGCGATAAGGCACGATGGTCGGGTGGATGATTGCTTCATTTCCAGGGTACGCTAGCGCAGGTACAGTTGCCTACCAGCCGTTTTCCTGCCCGCTCTCCGTTAGTGACGGGAACATCAGTGATGCACCTCACGTAGCATTGTACCTACTGGGTAACACCGGTAATGCTGTCGGATCGGACTTATAGCGCTTCTTTGCGCCCATGGCAGTCCGGTATTCATTCGAGCCCCCTCCTCCGAGTCCTCAACAGAAGCCAAGACCTGTGCATGTATGCCCAAAACACATATTCCGAAGCGTTCCCTGGTTACCGGTCAGTGTCTGGATGATGGAAGATCCCTCACCCTTAGACCTTGGACCTTAGACCTTGGCAAAGCTTGTCGATAATCAAGCTTTTAGCGAACACGGATTATCCCAGCCCTTTTCCCAACCTTCGATCTGCGCATCTATTCTTTCAACGATTCTGGATTCCATGACGCAAAGCCAGCGACAAGGAGAAACCATCTCAACTCAAAACGTGATCCGCATCTCGAGTCTCACTACATACTGCGGTGGCTCTCACTCGTCATGCGAGAGGAGAGCAGTTCTCAGCAGTCAAAGCTCTGGCAAATGTCTGTACGTCTGATATCTCGCAAAAAGCCAACATTCACGCTAGTGAAGAACCAGGCACGAGTTCATAGTGCAATCTTGATCTCAAAGCCGCAAAGGGGGTGCAACTTGATGAACCCTGGCAATCAACAGCGTCCCTTATATCACAAACACCAAGCACAAAGCCTCGCCTTCTCCCTTGTATCTGAAGAAGAATCTGAGGATTTATCGCGAGCACGGTCCCGACTCATTGGTCAGGCACATGGCATTGTGTGCCCTGTGTGAAGATAACCCTCCACCCCCATCCCTGTGACACGTATGAATTGAAGGTTGTGCCATCACGCCGTACACTACAGTTGATCATCAGATGGATGGGCCGCACCGCCCTCGTTCGTCTCGCACAAAAGTCAGGCCCGAGTGTGTCCGACCCACTACTTCATGGGCGGGGATGAAGTGTTGGATAAACCCATGAAAGATGAAACGGAAAAACACGTTGTTGCATTGTGGAAAAAGATCCCAATATCAGACGGTTGGTCGACAGGTTAGTGAACCAACGTCCCCGTGTCAGACAAGTCGTACCTGCCTACCCCTGGGGCAAACCATCAACTCGAAGGGCCCAGGTTTCCAATACCAGGTGAGTAGCAACACATAACTCGATCAAAGTTGATGAATGAATAGAAGAGAACTTCCTTATTTATCCACCTTTAGAGCAAGAGAGGCGACGGATGCTTTCACATCTCCCATCCGCTGCCTCTGCCTCTCCCGTCCAAAATTTGGGTAACACAACAAACGAACGCAATGAGAGCAGTATTTGCCGTTGCCTTTCAATTGTTCTTGTCAACAATCGTCATCTTCCAATTAGCTTTGACTGCAACATGCGTTCGAACAGCAGTCAACGTCACGTATAGCGAATATGTCGGAGAAGAACTTGGCAACGGCGTCAGTCAATGGCTTGGACTCCGGTACGCGGCACCGCCTGTTGGTGCCCTGAGATTCGCGCCTCCGCAAGATCCGCTATCTAACTCTGAGCCTCAAGCGGCAAATAAGGTGAGAGCTCCATGGCAGGATGGTGTGAAGGCCAGGGAAAGCTTTGGAGGGCACATAGTGACTAACTGCTGATACAATAGCATGGAAACTGGTGTGTCCGAAGGCCGGGTAATTCTCTGACATCGGAGGATTGCCTGTTTTTGGACGTCTATGCACCGACAAAAGCAACCACAAAGTCCAAGCTCCCAGTCTTTGTCTTCATCCAGGGCGGAGGTTTTAACGACAATGCTAACCCAAACCTCAACGGAACTGGGCTCGTAAAGGCGAGTTCAAACAGCATCATCGTCGTTACACTCAACTACCGTGTAGGACCATACGGGTTTCTCACCAACGGAGAGCAAGTTGTTGCCAACAACGGGCTTCGAGACCAGCGCAAGGCTCTGGAATGGGTGCAAAAGTACATCAGCCAATTTGGAGGTAACCCTGACCATGTCGTCCTTGGAGGAGCCTCAGCTGGTGCGGCCAGCGTCGCTTACCACATGATGGCCGACAAGGACGGCAACAGAAAGCTGTTCCACGCAGCAGCTGCCGAATCAGTCTCCTTCGGCACCGTCCTCACCGTCCAACAAGCCCAATACCAGTATGACAACCTGATGATCCGCCTCGGCTGTGCCAGAAGCGACGCCACTGCCAGTCTGGCCTGTCTGCGGTCCAAGACTCAAAAAGAAATTGCCGACAGGGACGGGGACATTCCGTACCCTGGCTCGTCCAACGGACCCATCTACATGTGGTCCCCCGTCATCGATGGCGACTTCGTGACAGACTACCCGTACTCCGCCTTCCGCAACGGCAACTTCATCAAGAACATCCCCGTTATCTTCGGCGACGACACCAACGGCGGCAGCAGCTTCGCCCCCGACCGCATCAGCTCCCTCGGCGACAGCAACCAGTTCATCAAGGACCAGTTCCCTGCCATCACCCTGAGCCAGCTCGATACCCTGAACATGCTCTACCCTAACCCGAACGCTTCGATCTGTCCTAGAATGGGCTGCTGGCGTGGACAGGCGGGAAGCGTCTACGGCGAGATGAGATACATGTGTCCTGGGCTGTACCTGAACGATGCGTTTGACAACTACAACGATCAATACTCCAAGGGCACAAGCTCATGGGCGTATCGGTGGAACGTGGAGGACCGGGATCAGGTGGCCAGCGGGCTGGGAGTGCCGCATGTTGTCGAGCTCAATGCCCTTTTTGGACCGACAAACATGTGGTATACTGGCCAGGTGCCCCAGAGTTATTTTCTTGGTGGAACAAACGCGGCGGCGGTGCAGGTAATGCAGGGCTATTGGGTCAGTTTCATCAGGACATTTGATCCGAATACGTTGAGGTGTTGTGGGGGCGTGGAGTGGAAGGCCTGGAAGAGCGGTGATGAAGCGAGTGCACAGCATCAGAGGTTGTTGTTTGGGACGGGCGGGAAGACGACGATGGAGGTGATTCCATTTGATGAGGGGCTGGGGCTGAGGTGTAAGTATTTGCAGGCTATCGGGAGGAGCCTGCTGCAGTGAGCATGTGGCATGTCTGGTGGTGACAGACAGTGTTGGTCGGGTCGGGTTGTTTGCTTCCGGAATCTGGCCATGACCAAACAGACGAGAGAGAAGATGATGGCGTGCTTGTTTCTCCGTGAACGCCTCTCTTGAAGATGTCCTTAGCGTACGCGACATGAATGCAACAAAGATCATGTTTTTCCAATGAAGAGGTCCCATCCAAGTTCAACATCAAAAGTGGAGATAGGGGAATGTTGTCGATGGCAGGGGCATGATGGACGTGATCTTGGACAACGAGTCGGAAGCTGTCGGCCGGACTCGCACAATTCAGTCCAGCGTTCATCCCCTCTGAGTACCGTTCTATGTAATAACTTAAGCGCAAGTATTTCTTTTTCCATTGCACGATTCAAATTCCTCGGGAAGGTGCAACTCCCCGAGCTGCGCGTACACGGACACTTGTTTCCGACCTTAGCTAACCCTACCCCTGATCTAGTCCTTTAGTTGGAAAGCGCCTGCACATCGTCCGTCCCCCAGTCATTCCAGCTTCCAATTGCAGCTGGCCAAAGAAAGTTGCAAGACTTCCAATCTCGTCCAAATGGAAATCAAGGAACGCCCTACGGTTTCCGAAAACGTGTTGCAGGATCTGCGTGGGCCCTGAACTCAAGGATCATTGACGGAGTGACGGTTCCACGCTTCACCCAACACAGCTACGGAGATTGTCCATCCGCGGTCCAAACCGAACGACGGCCCCGGCCTTGCCGAGTTCCCCGCGCCGCTGGAAATGTTTCGACTTCCAAGAACCGGAATGCTTCAACTTTCACCTGAGCTTGCGGGCCGACAACCTCGCGCTTAGTCCAGAATGGGCATCCGGGCTGCGCTCTGCCGCCCCCTTCATTGTCCAAGGCAGGAACTTATGCGGATGTCTTCTCCTCCAAGACACTCCCCAGGATGCCGGACTGCAACCTCTACACGCATAACCTGACGTGATCCAAGGCCTCTGGATGCCATGCTGCCACACCAACTTCGCTTCGGCAGAACTGACGGAGGATGGGAACGAGGCCCGAGCCTAGAGCCGCATCCTTGCGACCTTGTCTGGCCACCCGTGCTTCGTCGACATCGACATCAAGCCTTTCGTAGTGCATATATAATGTCAACATCACCGCCGCTGTCTTGTTGGTCCTCACTTCCGGGCCATCGCCAAGGATTCTAGTTCCTCGGATCACCTTCCTCCCAAATCACCATGAAGGCTACGATTCTTGCCAGCACCTTCGCCGCTGGTGCCCTCGCTCAGAACGGTGCCTGGGGCCAATGCGGCGGTAACGGTTGGTCCGGCACTACCAGCTGCATCTCCGGATACAGTTGCAACTACGTGAACGATTGGTATAGCCAGTGCCAGCCTGGTACTGCCGCTCCTACCACCACTGCCGCCGCCACCACCCTCGTCACCTCGACCAAGACCGCCCCTCCTGCTACCACCACCACTGCCACCGCCTCCGGCAAGTTCAAGTGGTTCGGTGTCAACGAGGCTGGCGGTGAGTTTGGTGATGGTATCTTCCCTGGAAGATGGGGCACTGAGTTCACTTTCCCTGACACCAACACCATCCAGGTATGTCATCTCCCCTTGTTGTCAAGATATTTGGTTCTGGATACTAACCTCATTTGGCACTATAGACTCTCCGCAGCCAGGGTTACAACATCTTCCGTGTTGGCTTCGCCATGGAGCGCCTTGTCCCCAACACCCTGACGTCGTCCTTCGATAACGGCTATCTTACCAACCTTACCCAGGTTGTCAACTCTGTTACCAACTCTGGTGCCTATATTGTTCTCGATCCCCACAACTATGGCCGTTACTATGGCAAAATCATCACCGACACCGCTGCCTTCAAGACTTTCTGGCAAAATGTTGCTGCCAAGTTCGCTTCCAACTCCAAGGTCATCTTCGATACCAACAACGAGTACAACACCATGGACCAGACCCTTGTCCTCAACCTCAACCAGGCCGCCATTGACGGTATCCGCGCGGCCGGCGCCACTTCCCAGTACATTTTCGTCGAGGGTAACCAATGGACTGGCGCCTGGTCATGGAATGTGACCAACACCAACTTGGCTGCCCTTACCGACCCCGAGAACAAGATCGTCTACGAGATGCACCAGTACCTTGACTCCGACAGCTCCGGAACCAGCACTTCCTGCGTTTCCTCCGAGATTGGTGTTCAGCGCATTGTTGGTGCCACTGCCTGGCTCCGCGCCAATGGCAAAAAGGGTGTCCTCGGCGAGTTCGCTGGTGGTGCCAACTCAGTCTGCAAGGCTGCCGTCACTGGCCTCCTTGAGCACCTCAAGGCTAACACTGACGTCTGGGAGGGCGCCCTTTGGTGGGCTGCCGGTCCCTGGTGGGGTGACTACATGTATAGCTTTGAGCCTCCTTCGGGCACTGGCTATACCTACTACAACAGCCTTCTCAAGACCTATACCCCTTAAGTAACGGGAAGTTGTGAAAGAGTTTTGCTGTAGGGACAGCGAGCAATCGCCCAACGAGAACGAGTCTGTCTTGTCGTTGGAAAGCATTGATCCCCAAATCGTTTACTTTTCTTGTACATACATACTACCTTTGAACATATTAAATCGCATTGCTTGCACAGACAATCATCATGCCTGATATTTTATTTCATATTGGTGGATAGGGATCTAACCGTGTTATAAATATTAGTCCACACTTCTAACTAAAGCCACGCTGCGCTCAAAGCACCTCAAGCTCAAGAAGCGAACGGACACAGATACGAATCACCGTGACCTTCAAGAACGAGTAAAAGCCGGGGACGACCATCGCGAAACCCTCTAATGGCTTTGTCGCCATAACAAGACCACATCACCCGCCCAAACTCCTCCGCCCGTTGTAAACACCAACCTTCTTATGAACTCGATCCTCCTCGTCCAAACCCACCAAAGCGAAAAAAGAAACTAGCAAACCTGCCGATAGTCGTGGACGCTTCGGACACCGCCATTGCGTCTTGACTCTCGTCCTCCTCCTCATCACCAGTTCTTCCCATTGGTTCATCCGAGTCACTCGAGTCCTCATCATCCCAATCCACGCCGAGTAGGCTACCGTTGAATAACAAATTCCTGGCCTGGAACCTTTCAAACTCGAGTCGGCGTTTCTCTAGCTCACGGGGAGACAACGGGGCTGCTGGCTCTTCCTCCAAGTGTTCCCAACCAACTACGAGCGAACTAGGCCCCCTTCCAACCGCAGAAACACTACTTTGTAGTATCGACGATGCAAGCTTTTGTTCAGATCTTCCTGATCCAGCCCTGACCCCCTCCTCTTCCTCTTCCTTCCCAGCAAGGTGGTCCTCCTGTACAATCGCTTCTGGAACCGCAGTCTGCTCCGCTGCCGCCGCTCTACGTCCCAGCTTCAATCCAGCGAATAATCCGCTCCCTGCCCTTCCGGCTTTGCCTCCTTCGGCCAGGTCCCGCGGCGTCCAGGCTTGTTGCAAGCGGCTTGGACCTGGGCCCCTCAATAGAGTGTTCTTCCGCCGCGCCCTAAGGTCGTACTGACCACCCACTTTGCGGTTGGTGGGATTCAGTCTGCGCACGAGTGGTGTTGGCGGTCCCGGTGGTCTTTGGGGTGGTAATGCCGATCCGCCTGGTCGGTTATTGGGCAAGATGAATGCTGTGGGGAGTTTGAGTTGTTGAGGCTGCTGTGGCGGTGGTTGTTGAGGCTGCTGCTGCTGCTGCTGCGGTACTTGGGCCTGCTGAGGTAACCAATTTTGTTGGGGCGGCCGATTCTCCTGTAGTGGCTGATTCGGATTCTGCAGAGGCGGCCGATACATCCCACCCGGCTTTCTCTGCCCCTGAGCTGCCGCCCCATGACCGATTATCCCTCTATTACCTAGGAGTCTTTGCGGCTTTCCTCGGGCAGATCCCAATTCCCGAGGCAGGAAGGGCACTACGGCATCTGCAGCGATTGGAGGGGGAGTCTGGTAATTCACTTGCTTGCGAGGAGGATTCGGTTGAAGCGGCGTACCCTGGATGCCGCCGGACTTGGTATGCGGAAGAAGACGGACACCTGCCCCAAGTGCTGTCAGCCGTTTGTTGGTGAGAGAGGATGATGGCGCTCCTTCTCGTGCCGCTCGTGCTTGTGATGTAGCTTGGGCTATTGCGGCTGCCACTTTGGCTGCGGCTGCGGCTGCGGTCGAGCTGGTGGCCGCGGTGGAGTCGGAGGGCACGACGAAGGTGCGGACTCGTCCGGCTACCGCGTTGGTCTCAGCCTTGGGCGGTGGTAGTTGCGGGATTACAGGTGCCGGTGCGGGTTCCGCTGCGGTTCCCTCTAATGCTGCTTGGATGCGTTCCTTTGGAGTTGGTCTTCGTGGTGGTGGTGCTGCCGCTGCTGGGGTTGGAGCCACTGGAGCTGCGGGTCGTACCGTTGCTTCTTGATCAGAGCCTTGGGGATCGGGAACAGCTTTTTCTTGTGGAACTGGGTTGGCTTCAACTGCTTCAACGGCGGCCTTTATCTGTTCCGCTTTCACCCCACTGGATTTTCTGCGTGGACGCCCAAAAGGACCCTTTGCTGGGGGCTCTTCCGCCTGTTGAGGAGCAGGATCTGGAGGGTTTGGCACGGCCTGTTGAGGATCATGATTCGGAGTGTCCGCTGCAGCCTTTGGTGGTCTTGGAAACGCTGGTTTCTTCTTGACTTTGACGGGCTTGGTTGACTGGAGCTTAGGCCACTTTCCGGGAACCTTGAAAGTGAAGTCGAAGGTGCTGACACTCTGCTTACTAGGCGACACACCGGCTTACTCGGGTATCTTGCCCCAAGGAGGCCTGGAATTCTTTGCGAGACTCTCAGCTTTATCTTCTCCTGGTTGTTCAAAGACGGCCGGCCTTGTTGGTCCTGGGACTCCTGGTGATTCGAAGAATCTTGCAGCCCATTGACGGGCTTCATCTTCCGACAAACCTTCCCATTCAGACGTTGTCTTCTCATGAATCCAATCCCACAGCTGCTTTGCCTCAGGCCGCATGGCTGGACTGTCGGCCATGCACAGGACTATGGCGGCACGAAGGTCCTCGTCAATGTGATTGTACCTTGTATGATTGACGAGACCACCCCATGACCAGAATCTACCCTGGTTTTCAGCTCGACCTCGACGGCGCCCAGGAGGTCTGTGGTCCGTAATCCAGTAAGGAAACGGCATTCTGGAGGGTTTGTGGAGCGTGACGAGACACCACATAACTTGACCGATCCAGTACAGATTCGTTTTCCAGGTGTAATTACCGGCGATGGTAGGAGTGAAGTTGACGGTTGTGGATGGTGTGTACTTGATGTAATCCCATTCGGGGTGGAATTGCTCCTGGTCAACGAAGAGTACAGTGTTAGTTACATGGGCACTAACTTGGTTGCTATCACCAAATCATGGAACCAATAGATGTCGTCGCAACGGGGTACCGAAAGACTGTATTGGGAGAATATGACACTTACCGGTGAGAGCCAGCCCGCTCCTGGCTTGCCGCAGAACCTTGACCCCCACATCTTGAAGCTGAGGAGAAGGTTAGCAAAATGGTCCAAGATTGAAAGCCGTGAGTTTGGATATTGTGTGGCGTCATTCTCGGTCTCGATCTTGAACTTACAAATCGTTTTTCTCAGTGGCCATGTGCGTACCCAAGCCAAGATCAGCTATCTACAATCCAGGCAAAGGTCGTTGTCAGCAATTGCTTCATTTTTTCATTGCCTTCATGCGGTATTTCTCGGCTATGTCACTCACCTTGATATTTGGCGTTACCGAATGCGACTCTCGAGTGGGAACGTTGAAATCTCCAACAAGGACTACATATTCACACATCAGCAAGTCGTTCTGAATTCTTACTTGGTCCCGGAAAAAGAGCCACTCACTATTTGCTAGATCTAAGTCAAAGTGTATAAAGGCATCCCTATCAAAGTTGATCACATCCTCTCTATCTGGCAATCGCTCTTCCATAATGGGGCCCGTTCTTCCTCCAGTTTCCTTATACTCATGATAGTGCCGCGGGGGATGAGCCATGGCGAGAACGCCCTTGAACACTGTTTGAGATCACGGTCAGTACGATACTTTCTCTTTCGGTTATCTTCTTCAGCATACGAGTCAACAAGGGGGGGATGAGACTTACAGCACTCAAAGATCAACCAAAGCACTTTGGAATGAAACTTCTCTCCCGAGTGGGCCATCTTTCTCACCCACAAGTCAAAATCACCACGCCACATTGGCTCAATGACCATTAGGTCTGGATGTGTGTTGATGTCGTGGTCTCCATCGCTGCGTCGCTTGCTAGCCCCCTTAAGGTGCATGGCCTCTCTCGCTCGGTCAAAGATAGCCCTTGCAAGCGGACCGCGGAGTGCTGCTCTAGGCGATTCTCCTGAAGCTGGCGCCGCAACTATCGGCCTGTCACCGCCCGGTCCTTTCTCCTCTTCGCCCGTTGTCAAACGTGTCCGCTTGGCGACCTGAAAAGCAGAGTCCGCAGCATCGCCAGCATACTTCCTCTTCATTGCTGCTGGTGCATTCCTGTTGATACCCGGTCCTGTTTTGTTCTTGTCTTTATCTTGCTGCTGCCGCCTGTCCTCCACCACAAGACACTGCACCACGTGCGCGGCCCTGGCCACCCGGATATGATTCTGCTTCTCCTGCCTGAAATTGTCTCTACCCCTTTCGACCAAGTTCATCTTGATCACCACGTTCTGCGACTGCCCTTCCCTTGGCTGTCTCAACTCAGCCAGCAACACCGCGCCCATGCCGCCCCAACCCAGCACCTTCTTGATCCGAAAATCCGAGCTCGTCTCCAAAAACACCCTCGCCCTCGCGATCGCCTCTTGAACATGCACAGGCTGCCCCCCTTTGAACCTGTCACCCACCTGCGGTCCCGGTGCCTGCGCCTGGTTACCAGGGTTGTTCTGTCCAGGCGCACCCGCTTGTTGTGCTCCGACTGGATTCTGGGGAGGCATACCCCGGCGCGAAAAGGGCACGATTTCGTACATCTGGTTGGCGCCGTAGAACGGGTTGGAGAAGTGGTTTCTCCACATGGGACCGGGAATGGGCGATTTCCATCTCCTGCGCAGCGTTCGGTGCTCGGGGGTGTCTCGCAGGTGCAGCTCGCCGCGTCGGTAGAGCACACACGGGTAGCCGTTGTCTTACTGGTAACGAAGCATCTCACGCTGGACGGCACGCTCCCCGTAGAGGTCGGCTGCGGGGGGTTCCACCCGGTCCATTAGCCCTCTCCCTCCTTGTTTCTGGGGTCGGTACGCCATGCTGATTGTGAGATTGGGAGAATGTGGCTGTGCTAGGTTGGTTGTTGATGAGAGAGTGAGGCTGGAGGTTATAGTTGTTGAGAAGAAGGCGGATCAATGAACTTCGTGCCTTTGCCGGAAGATATCGGTAATCGAGATATTCCAGTATCGCTTGTCAGTATGCGAAGCAAAAGGAAAGCGAGAGCGGTTTGGTGATATTTGAGTGATTGCGGAATGATGGGACGCCGTCACGCGTTGAACTGGTGCAAAGCCAAATGAGGTTGAATTTGATGATGCCGAGAAGGAGGAGGAGGAGGAGGAGGAGGAGGAGGAGGAGGAGGAGGAGGAGGAGGAGGAGGAGGAGGAGGAGGTTGAAGTGCTCTTCTAACGACGGTTGAACTGACCCGCAATAGAACGAGTCTATATGACGCGGGTTTGCTGGTATTGTTGACACGATTCTGACAATGGTCCCTGACCGCACCTATCGAACCATTCCGCTGTAGTGGGAGTTGGCCGACGTCGCGGAGTTGAGAAGAGAATGAATTAGTTGCCGGCGTGGCCGACGCTGGTGGTGTTGTCGCCACCAGGAGCGAAGTTGTCGCCCTCGTCCTCGGCCTCGTTGTCGGTGATCCAGCCCGACTCGGTCTCCTCAATCACGTCTTCCTCACGTTGTGTGTGAGGGCCTGCAATGAGGGTTGTGTCGACAGTGACTTTGGTGGCCTTGTAGATGCCGTCCTTTCTCCCGAAAATTTTCTTGGTGGTGACGAGCTCGACGGTGGTGATCGTGGTGGTGATGCGAGTTTTGTTCTCTTTTATGTAGATCTCGTTCTTCCCAGCATGTCGGTTGGGGGTGAGGTACTTGTCCTCCACGTCAGTACTACTGTCAGAGCCGAAGTGCGACTCGGTCTCAACGCAATGGGGCTGGAACAGGTGCTTGAGCAGGAGATCTTCCTCTTGGTGTTGGAGGTGTTGATTGAGGAGAGGTTGGTCCTCGGTCTCCGGGGTGATTGTGGTGGACTGGCCATTTTGGCTGTCCACAGCCGGGCTCTGCGCCTCGGCAGTGGGGCTCTGGTGCTCCCGGTTCTGGTTCATCTTGGTTTATGAAGCTGATTAGCTGGTTTTGGTCGTTGAGAACAATGGAATGTTGTCTTTGAGACAAAGAAGGCTTACAACTTGGTGTGGGTGGTTGTGCTGTTCAAAGAACTGGTGGTGATGTTTCCGGGAGGGAGGGGCACTGGGAGAACAAAGAACGGTGGTAGTATGAGAAGGGCTTGAAATACCGGCAGAGGTTGGAACAAAGACAACGCACAACAATGGGCTGCTACTGATTCTGCTTTGACTCAATAGTGAGCTACGCGTTGTTTCTTGTTTGCTATCTGGATTAGGCAATGCACCTTGCGAGCTTGTTGCCCGGCTAGCTGAGGCTCCTTCCTGAACATCTCTTACAATAAGATTTTCCACGCCCCTTGTTCAAATGGTCGGACGCGATCGAGTCTACTCGACTTTGAAGGTTCAGATGAAATTTCTGAGTCAAAGTCTGGACAGAACGTCAAACACAGGACATACAAAAACAGCTAGACTCGCAGAAAGACAACGCCATCTGTGTTTACTCAAAGGTCTTCTGATATTCTCTCGTCCGATCTCATCAAAACAAAACCCAAGATGTGTCAGGGATGCTCTATTTAAGGCTGGGGTTTTGAAAGCTTGAGGAAGTGCTAGCTTCCCCTTGATCTTTACTAAGCTTGAGCTTGGACAGTGACATGGAATAGGGCTTATTGACTGTGAGCAGTAGCTGGAATAGTGCAGCCGAGTCGAAAAAGAATGCCTCCGATTTGTAGAGACAGGCTGTTAAGAAACCTACCAACTGGCAAGCTAGCAAGTGAGTTCGCAAGGAGAGCGATTTGTCTTATGATAATTGAGGTCAAGTTCCAGTCCTTCAAATGGGTGATTGTCTTAGCGGACGCGTTAGAGATGCCTCCTGGCAAACAAGGTTCATTATCTTCGCGTAAATTCTTTTTCGTTGATTAGGTACATACATCTATGATCGTATTAGCATCCGATATAATGCTTATTATGATTGTTCTTGTATTTTGGTTGGGACTGCAGCTGTTGAGGTACTTACAGGCCACCTCAAAAGCTTGGGCAATGTCTATTCCTTACCCGTGGATTTGTCGCTGCCTCCAGACTTAGCATCTACTCTATTCGCTTCGACAGGATATCTGTATGTACCATTTCCTTCGATTAGTACAAGATGGAAATATCGTAATGTCTTTAGCTGAACGTGAAGAGTATGTTGTTTCTCTAATAGTGTCTGGATTTTAATATTGAACGTATCTCGACTTAACTATTTTGTCCACTCGCTTGAAAGACATAATTTGGTTTGTGGTGCTGAGATACCACCACTATTGTTCTTTGGAGAACATTAAGTAGGTATATAGAGGTAGTGAAACCTGCAAGTTGAGGGTGTATAATGACAAACGCAATAAAAGGTCAAAAGTCAGTACCTGTGCGAACATTCAAATTTGTAGACCGCGTCCTCATCCCCACCAGCATTGTCCTCATCAGCACCGGTGTCCTCATAAACAACGGTGTCATCGCCGTCGTTGTAGCTATCGTCAACCGCCAGCTTCTTCGCAGAAGTCGGGGCTGACTTCCGCTTGGTCCGGTTGTTGGTGGAAGCCGGGGCATTGTTAGTATCGGCGGCGTTTACGTTGCTGACGGCATGGGGGAGGTTTCCGAGCAGCTTGCCTTGCATTGTTCCAAGTGATACGAGCTTGCCGATGAGAATTAAATCGTGCGAAAAAGTGTCAGACTTGCGGAGGGAGGCTTTCGGGGCAGCCTGCGACCGCGGTTTGTCTTGGAAGCGGAACTCGTAGAGAAGGTGTTGCGGGCTTGGATAGGGTCCATTCCGTCTTGGTTCTCGCGAATTCGATTGCCGTGCGTCAAGGTGGACGGCTCGCGGGTTCCGACGAAGGATAAACGTTGTCAGGTGGTGACTGAGCTGCGCGATCCCTTCACGTGTGGAATTTCCGAGCACTTTCTCGGAACTGTACCGACTGCTGGTCGTGCCTTGCGCCTTGAAGATGAAGGAAGCCGTGACTCGGGTATGGTCTTTGTCGGCGTAGAATCTAGCGAACGAAGACTGATTGCTTGCGTGGAGGAACTACCGGAGCTTAAGCAGGTCAGTACAAATAAAGAAAGTGATTTGTGGGTGGCAGCAAAAGGACAAACATTAGCTTACTGAACTTATCCTCCCCAGGTGAATAGAGGTAGCGAGATGGGTTCCTGTTATGGTCGCTCATGCGATCCAAGGCCTTCTCGTACGCGCCGCCAATCGGTCGACCAGCGGTTTGTGACGGTGAGAGGCAATTTAGGCCAAGAGGTAGCATGTTAATCTGGGCTACTACTCAGGTTGGTATCTCTCCTCATGATATCTATGATTCGTATCTCTGTAGAAGTCATTGGATCAGATGCGGTGGCTTGCTCGGGAATTCGGAAAGCGAGAGAATGTCGGGAGGTCTCGAGGTTTGGAGGTCTGGGAGCAGGAGAACCGTGTCAGCCGTGACAGCGACTTGAAATCAATCACGTACCTACCTCTACCCTGGTAGAGTTCAGCGGGAATACTAACTTTTGCTTGATTCATTGTTATGTTCATGGTCAAGTCAACTTGGAGTCGACGTGGAAGTTTGAGCGCATCAAATGTTGTTGGACGGGAATTGAAAAAGGGTAGTCGCGACTGGCAGTCCCTGCATGCGCCCACGGTTGCAGCTGCACAACGCATTTAGTTCTGGCAAGACTGGTACAAGACACTTGAACGCAGCACATTCACGGATCCATTCCGCATTTTCCCCCCAAGGCATACCCTAATGGAACACCAAAGAAACGTAGTATGATTCATTTCACTGTTCTATCAACAATGGCACACATGGCTTTTCGGGGGAAAACCTTACCAGTATCTTTGATGTACCTCAACATACCTAGAGGTACCTACGTACAAATCGCATGCAACAGAAGGAGAGCCAGGAAGAAGCGCTTATTTGATACCTACCTCTAGCCACCAGGGCCCAGCGTGTCGTTATACACAGGTATGGAAGCTATGTTTTCACGGTGAGATCTTGAATCACATCACAACGCTAAAGATACCTCTACGAAAGGAACACCACAAGAATGCTTGCATACCAGTACATTGTTTATATGCTTGCTGAGCATGAAAGCAAAGGAAATCTTCCTCTGATGACAATCATCCAAGGCGCTGAGAACTGAGCCAGGACGAACAATGCAGAGGTTTTGAATCTCTCCCCATGCGATGCACGGCCAACGTATGACGAGAGGACGACCGGGCAAGCGCGAAGGGAAACACGATCAAGCCAGAGATCAAAAAGAAAAATGTTCCTCACTAGAGCCAAGGCATAGGAAAGCCAGGGCGTTCAAGTTTTAGAGGAGTTGATCTAGCCCTGATACCGACAAGCCATGAAAAAGGCAGGTCGGGTTGGCGGCGGGCGAATGATGAAGTCAGCAATCAACAACATAAAATGTTCCTCACTACGAGCCAAAGCATGGGAAAGCCAGGGCGTTCAAGGTTTTAGAGGAGTTGATCTAGCCCTGAAACCGACAAGCCATGGCAAAGGCAGGTCGGGTTGGCAGCGGGCGAATGATGAAGTCAGCAAGAAATGTCCATCTCTACGAGCCAAGGCATGGAGAAAGCCAGGGCATTAAACGTGTCAGAAGGAACTTTAGGGTCATTCGTCTAGCCCTGAGACCGACAAGCCATGGAGGAGGCAGGTCGGGTTGGCAGCGGGCGAAGGAATGATCAAGTTAGCGATCAACAAAAGGAGATGTCCCTCACTACAAAGCCAAGACATGGAGAAAGCCAGGGCGTTCAGTTTTAGAGGTATTGATCTAGCCCTGGCACCGACAAGCCATGGAGAAGACAGGTCGAGTTAGCTGCGGGCAAAGTAACCTACCTTTGGCATATGAAGAAGAAGAAGAAAAGAGGAAGAGGTTCTGGGGGTGAGGAGGAGGATATTAAATACCCCTCGAGGACTGGTCTGTGCACGAGTGCAAATTCCCTGTCACGAGTGCAAATTCCTAATCAGTGTGTTTGTTTCCGTCAGTTACAGCCGTGAGTATTGTCTGTTGCCATGTGGCGGGATGGAAATCCGGCTGGTCGACGGGCTGATTGCGTGGCTCGAGGGGGAGGCCGGCCGGCCTGGGTCGAAAATCTCCGAGTCCTTCTCAACTTTCCCCCAAACAGCACACTCCAGCCAGCCTTCCCACTTGGTGACGCGGCGAGAGGGGTCTGACGAGACTTCATATGATTACCTTGTGCTCATGAAGTTGTTCATGCGAGTTGGATTACCTCTGCGGGACTGGATAGCGTGATGACATGAGCTTGACTTTATCTACGAGAGTGTCCCTTCATCTGCGACGGTCCCTGTTACCTATTTTCTGATCACCTACCACATCAGAAACGGAGTGAGGTCCCATTGTTCAGCGACGCACGCATGACGGACTCAGGTATATCTTGACAGAAGGCAGACCAGTTTATGCGCAAAGATGACGCTTTCCTCAGCATGCCATGGGATTCAACATCTCAAGTACAGTTGAACGCGTTTATCATTTGAAGATAGATAGCAAAGTTAAGGTTGTTCATCCTCTGTTTCGCGTGTCACCACTGTTCTGCTTGCCTTGGTGGATGGCGGCTCTCGGCTGTGTGTGAACTCGAATTGATGTGCCTGCCATCTTCCCTCGGTACGACCCCCCCCCCCCCACTACAGCCTGGACAGCTCAACCATCCATGACATGACCAGTGTGTGTGAGAAAAACAGCAGCATTTTGATCTATCTCACGAAGCTCAAAAAAGACTGTTCACGTCGCGAATCGACCAGGTACATCGGAGTGTAGGTGTGTTGCCTTTCTTTTCCCATCCTGAGCTCTTTCACACATTCGCCTATCTTAGGAACTTCTTATAGTCGTTGTCACTCTGCATGGCGACTTCAGAATTTGCTGACTTTTATTTTCTGGACGGCAGTGACGCGAGCCGCCTTTATCACGAAGTGAAATTACTACCCGCGATGAATATCGACGAACGATTCCTCATTACTCGAAAGAAAAAAAGGCACAGCAAGAACAACACGAGACTCGACAGCAACCTGCGTGTTCTCGATACTCGCGCTTTACAAATTCCAGTTTGCTGGGAAGGAACTCTGGCAAAACGCGACAGCCCACCACTCAGAAGATGAATGGAAACCATTACGACCATCATGGGATCCAACAGCCCGAACTTGGATATCTCTACTCCTAGTAGACAAATCCGAAGATACCTACAGATAGCTATACTGAATCTACGATTAACACACACTCTCTGTTATGCGCACACATACATCTCAGAATGTTTCATGTTGGCTGTTAGTAGACGCTACAGATGACACTCGGCTCTTGCGATGGCGGACTTGGAAAGAAATCAAATGGGGCACGCTGTTCATATACCTCTACACGCGACTTAACAACCTCCAACCGACCGTGGCCGCAGACACTCCACGATACTCAACGAACCAACCGACGAGCGAACGAAAAAAAAGACTCAAACAAAGAAACACTACCTCTACCTACCTCTTCCAACAAAAGAATCACTTCACCTTGAGCCACTGTCCACGACATGTACCTCTAGCGAGATGAAAGACCAAAGTCCCAAATCGAGGAGGACATGAAATGAACAAGAGCGCTTGCCTATAACCTACTCATCAAATGTCAGCTACATGTACCTGGCTGCCTCTACGGTACGGGCAAATTATCCACTTTTGTTCCTCTTGGGAAAAGGCGGCCCAGGGACTGGAGGTGGCACTCAACAACTCTGGGGCTGTGTTGCCAACTTCCAATCCACCGAGCTGCTCTGGTTGCAGGTTCCGGACAATCTGTTGCTGCTTTCAGTTCATCCTGAAGGGTAACCGTTTTTGGCGTTCGATGCCGCTGGTGCCATTTGGACATCAAAGGGCCCGGACCTCTTAGCTTGCATGTTAATGGGTGAAGACATGGATTGAGCGGGGGTTGTCGCGGTTGATGAGGTGACCAACCTGTATGGTGTCCTCGGGTTATCGAAGAGGAACCACAGATTTAACAGTCTACTGGCGTGGAAGAAGATTGGGTTAGCGATCTACACCGGGCACAGTCGGGCCAAGGCTGGAATCAACACCAACCCGAACGCCAAGCCTGACCCCTGAAGCGGGTAAACAAAGCACGGAATGCCCTCTATATTCAGATCAAGTCGATATGACAAACTCGCTTCGAGTTGTGTGTTTGGCGTATGACTTGATGAAATCCCGGACAATTATCAAGGAGAAACATAGGGAGAAACTCGGAATGGAGGAGGTTTGGCAAGGCAGTGGACAACACTTGAACGCCAGGGATCACGCCACCCGACCTTGATGAATCACGACTTGTAGGTATGCACCACGACCCGCCACGGGAAAAAGCAAGACGACGTCAAAATGAACTTTTTCGAACCTGTCCCTAACTCTATAGACCCTAGCTCCATTCCCTCTAACATTTAGGAGAGCCTTCTAACCAGAATGCAACGCCAAATAATGTAATAGTAAAACTATTGACCGACCAAGCAACCAAGACAACGCCGAGCTCCCAAGAAGTTAAAGGCAACGCAGAGCAGTTGGGGTGCTTCTATGAAGATAAAGAAAATACAAGGAGGACCATCTCCTAAAGGGTCGTACAGGAAGTGAAATCGATCACACTCCTTCGGGCATAATGACTGACATATCGGTAGCGCGTGGCGAGTGTGTTAGGGGGCCGGTATAGTAATGGCGTCCATGGGTATACCAGAAACCGAGGGCAAAAATGAGAACGAAGAAAAAGACAACTATGGCGTAGTTCATCTGGAGGACATATTAGCATTACCCCATCCTCTGTAGGTGGAGCCCAAGTGGGAGAAGATGGCGGTACTTACATTCTCAGGTGTAACAGGTAGCCGCGTCGGGAAGAAGAAGATCACGGCCATGAACGTATTCCAGGCAACCGCAAACGCATTGACCCAGATACTGTATTTGCCCATATGCCAAGGCCCCTTCTGCATGCGCCCATAGACCATCTTGCAAATGATGGGTATGACATAGGACACGTTCAATGCGACCGCACACACATTGAAGACGGCGCCAATGGCAGTACTGCTTGCTAAGCCGAGAAGATTGATGATAATCTCTAGAACAGCATACGTCCACACGGCGATAAGGGGAGTTTGTGAGCGTTTGGAGATGCGGACCCAGATATGAGAGAAGGGAAGAAGGTTGTCGCGGGAGAGGGCGAAAATGGTCCGACTGCCGGCTTGTATACCAGGGATTGCGACGAGATTCATCACGCCGAAGCCGCAGAGTGTGAAGAC